GAGGTGGGGGGGGGGTGGGCAGGCAGGAGCTGGCTCTCCCCAGCACCAGCTCCAGCTCCCGAGAGCCGCCTGCTCACCTTCCCTTCTCCCCCTGTGCTGCTGCCACTATCAGAGGCAGTAGTATGGGGAAACTGCCATGGAGCAGCCTCTGTCTGCAGTGGGCCAGAGCTTGCTGCAGATAGAGGCTGCTCTGCAGCAGCAGTCCCTGTCCCTGGAGAGTATTGTATATCTACTCTTTTCCCTCCTGACTCTTGGGGAAATTGTGTGACTCTATTCTCCATCCTGGCAACTGGGTGACTCGAAAGCTTTTTTATCCTTTTCTCTGTTGTTATCCAGAGGAATGGAATTGTCATATTTTTTTCTATTCCTTTTTCTATTCTATTGCTAGTTTCTGAGTTTCTAAATCAGTGTCTTCAAAGTCCCAGATGAAGAAAGAAATATTTTTCACTATATCAGCTGTGTGGGCACAGTGTGACTAGTGCCACTGGACAAAGATTCTGGAAGGTTGTGGGTGGTTTAAGGTGCCAAAATGCAGTACTGACATATCCTGTTCTCTGAGCTAGTGTGTCAGTCTTTCACTATTTCCAATGTTCAGTATAACTTCCCTAAATGTGACTTTGAACTCAAGTGTGCTGTTACTTTCAGCTGTTTAATTCATTAGCTTTTTAAAAAAAAAAATTACACCTATAGAAATGTTAGCAATTTATATTGCATTGTCCTTAAAGCCTTGGGGTTCCTGATTTTCTTAAAATACAAACTCTTCAGAAAAATCACCAACACAAATTTAGAATAGCAATACTTTAGTCCTAAAAAATTAGGAGTTACAGTACTGCACTAAGGAATAAATTGCCACAAATGGGACAGTCCAAAAGACACAAGTCTTGAAGAGTTATTGGAGTTATTGGATAGCCATCAGATAGTCCTACCATGAGACTCTTAATGGAGCAAGATTGAAGATGTCATCTTAAATTTGGACTATTTTAAGAGATAAGTATCCCAGAGTTATTAATATGTGTCTGTCTCATATAGTGCTTTCTGGCAATTTCTAGATATTTTGAGCTTTTAAAGCAGTAAAAGGATTGGAATATTTCACAGTGCATTTAATCAGAAGCTGGGAGGTGCGATTGTCAGCTCAGGTAGATGTACATATACTAGCTCCAGTTAGATTAGCATTTAAATATAGTAGTGTCTGGTGGCAACAATACCAGCAGAATCTTGAACTGGGTTGGGACGCTGATGCTGTACCTCCTGCTGGCTATCATGGGAATTAGCTCTGCCCT